GCAGAGGTGGTTTTGCCATTGCCTGCCTCTGTGTAGCGAACTTGGACTTCCTCGGTGGTCTCCCATCTGAGTACTAACCACGACTGATCCTGCTTAACTGCCCTGGGCCGCTTGGGTAGGGCGGGATATAAATCCCAAGTAAATAAAAAATTTTAAAAAAACTTCTGAGATCTGATGAGATGGGGCTAGCCTAGGCTGTTGACAGACCGCCGGGCTCTTTTTGTAGCGGGTACTCCTTTGCCTATTAAGCGACACACCCCTAATGTAGCCAATCCTCCAAGAGCTTACAGTAGCCCCTGTAAGAAGAGCTCCGTAAACTCTTGGAGGATTGGCTACGTCAGGGGTGTGTGGCCTAATATGCAAAGGAGTTCCTGCTACAAAAAAGAGCCCTGATTACATATTCTTTTAACACTATAATAACCCAGCTTTGCATTGGCCGGCCTTAATTAATACAATAATTGAGTAATAATATTAATCTATGTCTAGGAAGATAATTTACTTACGAGTCACTTTTCTAAATGGTCTGAAGGACAGGATGGGTGTGCGAAGTGGAAAGGGAGGGGCGAATAGAGGAAGTGGTGGGGGGGAGAAAAGCAAGGAGGGAGATTTAGAGAATGAGGTCAGATGCTGGTCAGTGCTGAAATTCCATCTATGTATCCAGATGTTGTGTAATTTTGCAAAGCTGGTGAATATAACTCTGTGATGAGCCATTTTGGAGATCAGGGTGGGCCGGAGCAAATCTGTTCCTAATATATTTATAAATAGCTCTCTGTGAAGGTTATCCAGGTGTCACAGGAGACTCCGTCTCTCTGCAGTTTTTAACAAGGGTAAATTTGAAAATGAAGATTGTGGGAACGGATGGTGATTGTAAACCGCTTTGAGACTACTTAGGGTAGAGAAAAGTGGGGTATAAAAACCAACTCTTCTTATGACAATCCCACAGGATTTTCCAAGCAAGAGAGAAACAGGACATAGTATCTTGTTCCAATGCACTGAAAGGCTGGACAACACATCCAATTACCATGTCAGATTACACAGGGGAGCCATTGAAATTCATAAACATAAACACAGGAAATAAGAGAGTTTAAAAATAGACAGGGCATGGTTTCCTGTCCTGAAAAACACAAAAGGCTCTACATTTTACGGTAGCACTACAGATCAGATTAGAATTTCAACACCCGATCCATGTGCAAAAGAACCTCCTCAGGAAAGCTCCTCCATTAGCATGTCACGGCCTGGGGAACTCCTACAAGACAATGACTCAGCCCTACCCCACCTTCCTGAGTAGATATTAATTACTTGCCTACCATTTTTCTTCTCACCCTCGACACAGAGAGTACTCCATCTTTCTGTGTTAGACCTCTCTGAGGATGCCAGTCACAGCTGCTGGCGAAACGTCAGGCCCTACAGTGCCAAGACCACGGCCAGACAGCCCGGAAGATCCACAACAACTAATGAACAGAGGTTGTTTAGCAACCCTGGACTTCCTTGGTGGTCTCCCATCCGAGTACTAACCAGAGCCAACCGGGCTTAGCTTCTGAGACCGGACAAGATTGGGCTGACCTGGGCCTTCCACGTCAGGTCTACCTTACCCGTGGGATAATATAAGGAGGGGAGACCTGTAAAGGCCCCAAGATTCTTGGAAGGGTAGGGTAGATGCGTGATAAGGGACATTTGAAGCTCCCAAGTTTTAGTGAGTCCCTGTCATCACTACTAAGACCGCTGTGAGGATTTGTTCTGTCCGGATTAGGTGCCAGATAACGGGGAATGAGGAGCTGCGGTGGCTCAAGTGGTTAAGACGCTGAACTGCAGGCTGTGGACGGTCGGTAGTTCAGCAGTTTGAGACCCGAGTGTGCCGCATGACGGAGTGAGCTCCCGTCTCTGGCCCCAGCTCCTGCCAACCTAGCAGTTCGAAAGCAAGACATTGCAAGTAGATAAATAGGTACCGCTTCGGTGGGAAGGGAACAGCGTTCCGTGCGCCTCGGCGTTTAGTCATGCCGGCCACATGACCACGGAAATGTATTTGGACAGTGCTGGCTCTTCGGCTTGGAAACGGAGATGAGCACCGCAACCCTAGAGTCGGATTTGACTGGCTTTCGAGCAAGGGAACCCTTTATCTTTACCTTTAACGGGGAATGGGTCCCATTAAGCATGTCCTTTATCGTTAAAGTCAGCGACGTTTCCAAAGCTGGGGGTTGTCCATCCCGTTGAACTCGCTTCTCTCTGGTCTTTGGACAGTGGCCGACAAAGTCGCCCACCTGATGGGCCTCAACTCCGGGGACCTCCAGAAGGGCATCACCCGCCCCCGCGTGAAAGTGGGCAATGAATTTGTCCAGAAGGGTCAGAACATGGACCAGTGCAACAACTCGGTCGGCGCCCTGGGCAAAGCCGTCTACGACAAGATGTTCAAGTGGATGGTGGTCCGGATCAACAAGACCTTGGACACCAAGATGCAGAGGCAGTTCTTCATCGGGGTGCTGGATATTGCCGGCTTTGAGATCTTTGAGGTACAGGCCAGGAGACAAGACCAGCCTCTTAAAGGCCCTGACTTTTATTTGTATTCTTCGAGTAGATCGAGAGCCAGGGAATATGCGGCAGCGATAGGGGCTAAGATGGGGGGGGGGGCGGGGGACCATCTACAGCAGAGGTGTCGAACTCATTTGTTATGAGGGTCCGATCTGATCCAAATGTCACTTTGTTGGGCCGGGCCATGTGCAGACCCATAGCTACAGTGGGGCATTTGGGGGCCATGCCCCCTTAATTAAAAGCCCTGCCCCACAAAGAACAATTATAATAACAATTGACTGGCACAGTAATGAGAAAATACGGAGAACAAGAAAAACTGTGAGAAAGTGACGCTTAATATATGTCTTTAAAGAATCATAGAAAAGTGAACAAAAATAATATACGTAATCATAGAAAAATATATTGACAGTGATCTCCGGAATGTCTTGCCATTTCGAAGGAAGATCTTCTGAACAAAGATGTAGGACAAAAAAT